GTTATTATTATTATTATTTAAAAAATTTACGCCATTGACTTATTGTAATATTTTTTTTTCGAATTAGGCAGCTAAAAATACAACTTTTTATCTCTTAAATTTTTTTCCTATGTAGTTTGTAGAGAAAAAATAAAATCCACTTAAATACATATCTCGTGTGGTCCAGCGCGAGGGCTAAACCACTTTAAAATAAGCGAGAAATCGGCGTTATAAAGACATTTTTCTTATTGGACGCTTACATTAGCATCCAATCGTTATCAATAAGGAAAAATCCTTATCGATAAGAAATATCTCTTAGCGACGAGTTGCGATTTTATTTTCTTTGCCTTTAATTCTTGTACGATTTTTAGGTATATTTTTTTGGGCATTTTAGTCACGGTCTGAAGTTAGCTTTATTATAAATTGGGAAGGTTAAATCCATTAACAGTTGACAGATTTCAAATATTTAACAACTAAAATTGGCTTTAAATTCTTATTTCTGTTCGTCGTAGATAAACTATAGTGCAACTCGTTTTATAGCTTTTATAACTTCTCTAGGCACTAATTTTTATTAAACACTCGCTCGCAAGTTTCGCTCGTGCCTAATAAAACTCGTAACTAAAATGGCGTTTATAAAATTTGATATATAATATATACTATATAATCTTATATACAAGTTTATTTTAACAGCAGACCTTTGACTAAAACGAAAGTGGCAATGATTTTCTACGGTTATACATTTTAGAAAGGGTATAAAGGGATAAACCCGAGGTTATACTCCCCTTTTTATGACCTACTAACAAGTATATTGTCAGAAGATAAATTTAGCCACCATATGATTGTTTGGGGTTCTGTGAAACTTGTTTGGCATGCAAGAAAACTTAGTTGTTATGAGAATTTTGTTATGTCAATCTGCATTTTTTGTTTAAATTTATGAAGTTGTTGCTCAACCTCAAGGTAAAAATCGCTACTAACTGATGTGTACAGCTGTTGCTACCTTTTTGACGTATCCAAAATATATGCAAATTTTGCACGAAATATTTTTGCACAATATCATTATTAAATCTGCAGCTTTTAATTTGTTTAAATGATGCTTTATTTATTACCTGGCCGTTTTCTAAAAATATACATTAGGGTTTTTTTAAGAAGAATGTAGTATCTATGTATATAAAAATAGAGACATTTTCAGAAAAAATAATTTTAATCTTTTCTCATAAAATAGATCTGAATGGAATTATTGTTAAAATAAAAAAACGATGATCGCATGTTATTTCAATGGAAAAAAAACCAAAATTCAAAATAAAAGCCTTTTTTTAATTTATGTTTTTATTTATAATTAAATCAGGAAAACTAAGAACAGTACAGGATAATTTTTATTCAAGCTTATTGTACAAATTCCACTTGTTTTGAAAAATTATCGGTAATTTTTAAGCACTTGTATTACCCCCGAGTAATTTACTTATGCATTGTTGTAACAGTGTAATAACTACTTTATTATTAAGTAGAAATTCAAGATATCATAGAAGAAACACAGGGTTGCATTAGCACCGGTTTGTTTGTTTCGTGAATTAAAAACGTCAAAGTACCTATTAAGCAAACCAGTTTTTTTCTTCGTTTCTGCACCCAAGTCTTAAAATTGAATTATTTGGTGATATTTAAGAAGAAGAAATCGACAACAATTACATAGTGTTTGAAGACAGTTTATTTGTTAATTTTTTGTATTTTTAGTAGGTATTTTTACTCGAGTAATTTTTTTCCTAAATACCGCTTGTGCTTGTGCTTAGATAATTTTATTCAAGCTTTTTGTAAAAATTATAAACAACGGCGCTTTCTTGAAAATTATCGCTAATCGGTAAGCACTCTTTACCCCCGATAATATTAATTCTAATATACATATATATATATATATATATACGAGGTGTGTTCAGAAAATATCGGGAATTTTCGTTTTTTGAAACAAATATTTATTTATTCATCTACATTAATGTTGTCGCCTTCAAAATAGTCCCCATTGGATAGTACACTAAAAAAAATTATTACATTTAAATGTAAAGTTACACGATTATTACCATATAAATTCCTAATTTTTACGACAAATTGTAAAATTACCTTTATTTTCGTCTAATTTTTATGTATTTCAAGTAAATAAACATTTTTGTTTGTAAAATTACTAATGTTATGTATTAATTATTGATACAACAAGTAAATTTAACAAACTAAATGTAAAAAATACAATTATAACGTCTTACTGCATTATTTCAAATGTAAATATACTTTATTAGTCTTAATATTACAGATTTAAATGTTTTTTTACATTCGGAGTGTAGTAAAAATCGCAAAATTACATTTCATATGTAACCGGAGAAGAAGCCTATTGGCTGGGAATTCGCGCATGCTGCCCACGCATCGGCATGTTAATGTTATCATGTATAAATACATTTCAAATAAAAAACATATTACATTAAAAATGTTATTTTACATAAAAAATATAAATGAGTCAATTATGCTATTACATTTTACATGTAAAATAATAATGAAATGGAATATTTCAGTTATCAACAAGGCATCAAAATAACCAATTTCCATTACCGGAAATTTACATGATTTTTTTTTCAGTGTATGCACGTGTGCCAGCTCTTCTTCCAATACTCGAGACACTTCTAAAACTTGATCTTTGGGATAGCCTTTAGTTCTTTCAGCGATGCGCTTTTAATGTCATCTATGCTTGCAAAACGACGGCCCTTTAAGGTTCTCTTTATTTTTGGGAATAGGAAAAGTCAGACAGAGGCATGTCTGGCGAATATGGAGGCTCGGGCATCATTGCAGTATTGTTTTGGCCAAAAATTTTGTTCAGAATTTAACAATTTTGGAACTAATTTTGCTGCCACGCGTTTCATACCCAAAACATTAGAAACAATTTCATGGGATCAGCCAATCGATATACCAACATCATCAGCGACTTCTTTGATGGTTTATAACCATTTCTTCTAATTTTTCCATGTTTTTATCGGTTGTTAATATCCTTGTGCGTTCGGGGCATTCGTCATCTTCAAAGTCTTCACGGCCATCTTGGAAACTCTTATACCACTTGTAAACTCTTGTTTTACTTATAGCAGACTCACTATAGGCCTTTGTTAACATTTAGAATTTATTTTATTTTTTTAAGCAAAATTGGATACAAATTCTTTGATCCATTTCTTTTAACGAACGAAAATCGCCGAGCTCATAAAACACGTCTAACCTTAGCGGATGCCACAGACAAAGTATACAATGAAAACAGCTAAATTTTTTATCATACTTCGGGGGCATGTATACCAACATAATAGAGAAAATTTTATGACAACCGGACCCTCCGAACCCGCGAAGTTTAACAATTCCCGTTATTTTCTGAACAACCTCGTATATGCACTTATCTATATCTATTTGTTTATGTATATACACACAGGGTGGCCCAACGAAACCGAAACAGGAGTTTTCGGGTAGTAAATAGTGATTTAATAAAAACGCAAAGGTACTTCAACTTTGGTTTCGAGGAACATCTTTTGCAATAATTTCATGTGCACTGCAATGCAAGTCGCTTTACCCCTTCGCACAGTGGTCATAACCCTGAAATTTTAAATGACATCTCGAATTTAAAGTTTAAAGTTTTTAAATAGCACTGCTTACTGTCTAAAAACTTATCTGTTTCGTTTTCATTGGGCATTTGCGACCACTCTAAAATCAGTGGTTTACCCCTCGTCTATTTGTATATGTATATTAGGGTGATTCAAAAAATCAACTTTTATTTTTTTTACTCCTGACACTTGTAGTGTTAGGTATTGTCACAAGTTACAACTTTACGCAGGTGAAAATAAGCAAAAATTTTCACCCACATCTAGAGGTTTGTAAAATCAATTTATTTGTGTATAAATGTTGTCAAATATTAAAAATTATAATGTGGGAATCATCATCCTCTGAAGATGAATTACTTGAACAACCACGCCGTCATCGAAGACCTCGGACGTTTAGGTTAAGAACAAATTTAAATTTTGTCACCTTTTACGAGTTCAATGAGAGAATTTCGAATGTCATCAGTCAGCATGGAATCTCTTCTTGCAGACATAGGGCACATACTTCAACATGCCACAAAAATAAGTGAGGCCCTGTCAGAAAGAGTTCAAGTGTGTGCAGCTCTTCATTGGCTAGGCAATGGAGGTCAATACCATGGAGTAGCTGATATGCATGGCATATCAAAAGCAAGTGTCTGTAGATCAGTTCACGCTGTTGTGAGGGCTGTAAATGATATCAAATTTGCACAAATTGTTAACTGGCCAAATGACATTCAGAATGTGGTTATTCGGTTTTCCCGATTAGCAAGAATGCCTTTAGTCATAGGATGTGTGGATGGAACACTTATTAATATAGATAGTCCATTACAAAACGAAGAGCAGTATGTAGATAGACATGGAGATCACTCTTTAAATGTTATGGCTGTTTGTGGACCTGACTCCAAATTCTATTACGTTAGTGGCCAGGCAGTGTTAACGATGCCCGAGTTTACAGAAACAGTACACTGCATCGTCATTTTCAATATGGTTGGAGACCTATTCCTGATGGCTTTATACTAGGCGATTCTGCCTATCCATTAAAAGAATGGCTGATCCCTCCAACGAACCGTAATCTTGGTGACCCTGCAGTCATTCGATTTAATCGTGCTCACAAGTCTACTAGGCGTGTTGTGGAGAACTCGTTTGGCATTTTAAAGGAAAAATTCCCGTGTCTTAATTACCTACGGGTAAACACTCTTTTTGTCTGTGAAGTAATCAAGTGTTGCAACATTGCAAGGACTGAAGATGATGTTCGGCGTGTCCTTCAACCTCCAGCAGCAGACGCCAACGAAGAAAATGGGGAAGTAAATGCCGAAGATGCACAACCTGCAGGCGCAAGAAGACTTCAAGCATTACTAGATTTTTTCAGATAAACCACTTTTTAACATGTAATTATAAGTAGGTATAAATTATTATGTTTTTAATTAGAATAATTCAAATGCCAATATCAAAACCTTCAACTTCAGTATCTGCTTGCACGAGTATTTCTTGTTGCGCAGCATGGCATATGGCGGTGAAATGTAAGGGAGGCAACCCTAACTCCTTTTCTTGTTTGAATATTTCCAGGCTTTTTAAGTAGGATTCTTTTTTCATAATCTCCAACGAGAGTTTAAGTTTCTTTACTCGCAGTTCGCCCACCTTCGCTGCCAGTTTTTTTGCGGTTGTCAATTTTTTTCTGAAAATATATTTATACAAATGATAACAATTGGGAAGCTAAATTTACAGCTAAACGCTAAACTGAGCACCACTGGGTGTCCATATATATAATTCTATTTTTTATGGGAATCCTATTTTAATAATAATCAGGAGTGTTTATAGAAAAAAATATCTGGCCGGGTGATGACCATAACTTTGAATAGGTTGAACTAAACAATAAAGGTAATAACAAATTAGTACTTACCACGGTGTATTTTTTGCCAATATACATCTCTGGTGTAGCTAAAATCCTTGTTAGCTGACACAAGTCCTAGCGATAAGGCTTTCTCATGGATGGTCTTCCATGCTTTCACTTTGTCCTCCTTAGTAAGTTTGTCTGAGAAACTCCCAAACAAAACTTTCTTCGAAGATAGCACATCGTGCAAAAAATGCATCTTTCCTTCCTTCTTTAAGGACATAATTAAAACTTACAATCACGCGTCAAAATTAAGTGGCTTAACCTTACTTTTTAACATGTGTATTTTTCCACAATTATTGTGAAAATATTTTTCACAAGTGTGAAGATATATTTACAATTGTGAAAATATTTTAACTATTGTTAAAAAAAATTTCGGAACACCTGTACTTGTAGATTTGTTAAAAATAGTCCATCCACGTATGAGCTTTTAATATTAGTAAGATAAAAAGATTCTTGCAACTTTCCATTTTTAAATTAGTCCGATGAAAATCATTTGGTATCTCACTTATAAATAAATATAAAGTCCAATATATATTTTAATATGAAATTAAATGCTTTACACCAAAAAAATTCTATGTTTTTTGTAAACCATTAGAAATATATCTTCAAAATTTGAAAAGTTTTAAAAATAAATAGGTATTTTTTTTCAAAATTTTATAACTTGCAGAATAGTTAGAATTTCGAAATAAGAAGTACAATTTTTTTTGGAAATCAACTGATCTACAAAAAAGTTTTCTTTTTTGTTTTTTTTTTAAGATAATGGCACGCGCGGAATAATAATAAATTTTGTTTAGTATAAAGTATATCCCGTATGGTCTAGTAGTAACGATACCCAGCTCTTTATATGACAAGTGGTTATTTAAACGTTTCCCCTGAATAATTTATTGATATAAATGTTGTAGTATAATAAATAATATAACAAAATAAATGACTTTAATATTTGCATCCAGGAGGTTCGGGTACCGAAATAGTTTTTTTGAAATGAATATTTTGAAATAAAATTTCAAAATCCTATTTTAAATAATAAGAACAAAAAGATATTTCAAAAAGTAAAATAATATTTTTTACGGTAATTAAAAAAAAATTAAAATCTAATTAGTAAAACTTTTAGTTTATTTGAAACTATTGCATTGATCAAAAAAAATAAAAAAACCTTTACCAATAAAAATATGAACCCTACTACTCATTTCAAAATCCAAACTATGCGAGTTCTTTTATTTTTTTAAATTCTTTTTTCAAAACTTTATAAACTTTGACCTAAAATATATTTTAAATTGATAGGTTTACAAAAAAAACATAGGATACCTTTTTTGTAAAGCATTCAACTTCCCACCAAATTATCTATTGCGCCTAAAATATAAATTAATTTGTTAGTGATATATATGTATATTTTTTCATAGACTAATGTGAAAATGAAAAATTGCGATAAGGAGGATCTTACTATTAATATTAACAGCTCATACGTAGATAGGCTTATTTTGAAGTGCCAAGCTAAAGTCAAGCAGAAGTAAAAAAAATAGTAGATTTTTATCACCCTTATGTATATTATATGGAAAGGGGAAATATTAATATTAATATTAATATAATCATGTTTGGATATTTTATTTTTGTGTTAATTTTTTAAAATTTATTACTTTTTAAATATTATTAAAAAATTAAACCAAAGATTTTGTAAATAAATTGCTTTTTCTACTTTCACCTTTAAAACGTCGTACAAATTGACAAGTAGTGGCTTTATGGCGTTTTAGTCACGGGCTGACGTTAGCAACAGGTTTTTAGTCACGGGCAGAAGTTAGTTTTAGCTTAGTTTACAGTTGTAAAATGTCATACAATCGTTAAAATAAAGTATCCTAAAATACTAAATGTAAAAATAATTTTTTTATATCAATACAAAAATGCTTAAGTATTAAATAGTTTTTCCGCCAATATTTGAAAAGTGTATATGAACATTGTGCTGGCCTTTTAATTTCGCCGACAGAAAACTAGATTTAACTTAATTTCGGGTAAAGACTCCACCGTGGAGTCTTTCTTAACTTTCACTGTGAAAAACTGCTTATATATCGAATTAAACGGTTCATTTTCATGTGATTTTCACAAAAAAATTGACATTTAACAGATTCCCAAGTTACTAACCTTTTCTATACACTCATTTAATGCAATGCAAGCTCGCTCGTGCCTAAATTAAATTCGTGTTTAAAATGGCGATAATCAAACTTGATACATACACGAGTATACTAAAAATTATTTATTATTATTACAAATTATTATATTTCATTTTAATACGTGCTAAAAATTTCTAATATTATTTAACACATTGCACAAAGTAGTTTTTAAAACATTTGACACAAATTTGCAATATTTGGCGCTTATGGTTGAAAATTTAATATCAGAAAAAATGCAATATAAACGGTCTAATATTTGGAAAAATTGGTAGGAAATAATTTTGCTCCAGTATTTTTTTAATTAAAAAGGAAATATTGTTTACTTTTAAAAGTCTAAAAAAAATGTATGTGCATAAGCCTGGCAAATGGAAGTGCGCTTTAAAATCATAGGTTTTTGTAAATAATAAAAACTAAATATTGTGAAAGGACCGACTCTCTTCACATGTTTTACTATTAACTAACGTAAAAAAGAGTAAAAAAAGAAGTAAATAAATCACTTTAAACGATGTGCATACTATGTAATTTAATTTTTCTGTTAAAATATTTTGTTTATACATGCAACTTCATCAGTTAATTCATCTATGTTAAATTTGGAATAAAAGCGTTTTTATTTATTAACTAACGAAATTACTAGTTTTTATAATATGGGACAATTGTTTAATTTAAAATAAAGTAAGTATGGAACAAAAATAACGCATTATTAAAAGTTAAAAATATATGTAATTTCGTGTTCACTTTGTTGTGTTGATTATATTATTTTGCAATATTAAAAAAAACTGTTCCTTTATAATTATGCATGTTTGTATAGATTAAATTATGCTAAATCTGAATCTAAATACTAAAAAATTCGATTAGGTTTATTTTTTTTTACAAAATTTGACTGCCTGGTTATTTTTTTTTTGTTTTTTTTTCTTTGGCCGGCGGAGAAATTTTTTACGAACACTCAGTTCCTCTTGGGGCCCCGAGTAGTGTGGGACTCCGTCTATTGACGTATACCCACTAAAACTCCCCCGTTAGGTGGTTTAAAGCCCTGCACTGCGGTTTGCTTTCGCAATCCTATTGTGCCCTAAATGGTATTACTTCCATAGCTCTAGCTCCGTTGCTTCTATGAAGCGCAGTAGCCGAGGCAGTGGGAGCAATTTTAAAAGTTATGGTGTGAGTTTAGACTCTCCCAGGTGTGTTCTTCTTAAGGTGTTGAATCCCTCACATTGACACATAATATGAAGAGGTGTTTCCTCTTCTTCTTCGCATCCTCTACACAAGGGGTCATCTGTCATCCCCATTTTATGAAGATGTTTTTTGAATGGAGCATGGCCTGTGAGAAGGCCTAATGCTTTCTTTAGTTGGGTCCTGGTATATGTCCTCATTGGTTTCTGCCCTTTAGCAGATGGATTGTCCAAAAGTGCTTTCGAATGCTCCAGACCAGACTCGAATGCTGACTGCCTGGTTAGCAGTATACATTTATAAACAACTTTACTTTGTTTAATAAATTATTAAAAAAAAAAAATTTTCATTTAAAATATCTCAGTTATGTAGTACTAAATAAAAAGCGCTTGTGCATTTTAAGTAGAATAGTCGAGATTTGTGGACTTATTACTTAATTAAGGTAAATATGTTATTAAATTAACCACAAAACAAGGGCTAGCTTAAGTAGATAAATTTGTCTTGGCTTACCCATTTGACGAACCGACTAGTTTCATGAGCTTATTTTATTAATCGATACGATTGAATACTTAGCGATGATTTTTTATCATAATCATGGTACTCTCTTGGAGTTTTTGAAAAGTTTTACTAAAAAATTAAACAGATTTACGTTTAACACGAAAACATGTTCATAATTATTATTATTATTATTATATTATAACTTTAAAGTTTTCATTTCAATGCTTACCAGAAAAATCCTAACCCGTGCTCCACTCCACATACATTTTTTGGCCACATTTTAATTTTTATAATTTATTATTATTATTAGGTACTATTAAAGTAATAATTATTTTTGATCAAAAAAAGCCAATAATTCAAAATAAAATAAAGGGTGTTTTTTAGAGGTTTGATTTTTAAAATTAAATAAAACACAATAAAATCATGGTAATGGCCATAAAAATCGCTTTATTGCCATTATTGTTTAAATATGATTTCGGGCAATCCAGATGTCAGTTGCTATGGACCACTTTTTCGAGCAGCGATGAGGCTCATTTTTGGGAACGGCTACATGAACCAACAAAATTGCAGGATTTGGAGTGGCTTACGTTTAAGGTAGTGTTCCCCTGTGAAGCGATTCTCCATGATAAAAGGTCCATTTAAATACCCAGCATTCATAGCACACCACAAATTTACTGAAAACCTGTGCTGAAAATTGGTTTCGACTGGGAATTTTTGTCAGACCATACGTGAGAGTTGTGCGTATTATTAAAGCCGTCACGGGTTAATGTTGCTTCATCAGTAAAAAGTATGCGCGATTGTTAGTTATCCACCGACAAAATTTCACACGTTTAGCATAATCTTCCGGGTGAAACTGTACTCTTTGTAAATGGTATGGGTATAATCCTTGCTCGTGAAGTGTGTATATTACCCGTTTTTGTGAAATATCCAATTTAGTAGCGATTCTTCTGATAATGGTCGTTGCATCTTCTTCCACTAGATCCAAAATATTGTCCACTTCTTCGAAAGTTTGTTGATCAACTTTTTCAGATGTAGCACTTGGAAGAGTTCCAGTCTCGCAAAGTTTGTTAAAAACGCGAATAAACACGTTTTTGCCAGGAGCCCTCTCACGTGGAAAACGTCGACGATATTCTTCTACAGCAGCTGTGTCATTTCCATTACAGAAGCCATAAACAAAAACCATATTAGCATACTCTAAATTTGAATATACTTGTGCCATTTAAAAAAATTAAACTAAAAAATTACAAAAACACCACTGACACTGACAGTTAAAAACACACAAGCCTTTTAAATGTATAACTATGGAAACAAACTTTGTCTCCATAATTTTTCAAAGAACATTACATAATAATTTATTTTTTTAAATTTCGCT